GTGTTTGTGTCTCTGTCCCCTCGTGCGCGCCCCGTGCTGGGCGCAGGGCGTTCCCGGGGGAGCGGCTTTTCCCGAGGAGCAGCCACGGCCCTGCCTGACCCCCCGGCCTGTTCTGGGGTGTCTTGTTTCCCGTTTCTGGGTGAGCCCGTGTCAGTTGCCTGGCGCAAAGTTGGCGTTGAATGGTAACGGTGGCAAATCGCAGCTGCAAGTTCTTCTAATCCCGCTTTATATTAAGGAATTGATGCTGAGTTTTATTTGATTTATATACATACCTAAATGCATCAGATCTTTTCTCTTTCTGAAGTTGCCTGGGAAACAGGAAGGACAGAACAATGCAGAATTGTCAAATTCCGGGGGTTTTCATTATTATTATTATTATTATTATTATTGTTATTATCATTATTATTATTTTGGATAGCTACTATTGCTATTTTGGAGGAAGGTCCTGTATAGATTTACTCCCTGTGATACCTGGTCTTTCTAAACAAGGCTGAACATGAGGGAGACCACCAGGGCTTCCTCCAGTTTCCGTTTTGGTGGCAGGTATTTGGACGGAAATGCACTTGCCCGACGAAAGTGTCTCTTGTTCACTGTTACTTGTACATACACTGGGAAAACTCTCTTTGGAAAACATGAAAGTACGTGGGGAAGGAAAGCGAAACATGTTTATGTTGCTTGCTCTCCAACTAGCTTTCATGTTTAGTATTTGCTACAGTCGGAGGAGAAGATGGAACATGAAGACTAAATCTTTATGAGCAAGCTCAAATGCATAGAGCCATAGGAAAGCACATGAGACAACGTCTCCTTCAGTATAAAGTTTTTGAGTTGTGACCTCTGCAAAATTTTCATAGGCTTTCAGACTTTGAGGCTATTAGGAGGAAAATAAAATACTTTTAAATTTCAGCCAGGGCTGAAATAGCATGTTTATTTTTAAGGAAACAAAAGCTGGTGGAAGCATGTTTTGTATATGCACTGGCATCCTGGAGAAAAAAGCTAACAGGGCTAAAACTTTCCCTTGGGTCCTGTGCATTTTTTATCCTCTGCATTTTCAGAGATCATGCCCATTTGCAATTGTGTCTTCTGGATGCAGTATCTTATCCTGTGAACAGAGATAGAAAAGTCTTTAAATAGACTCAGGGAGAGTATCGAAATATTAGAGTAATGAGCCTCTGGAGCAGACCCGGTTTGGAATCACCTTTGCTGAATGAATAGCACGTTTGATAACATCTGCAAGGCATGCAGGTAGCCTTTAGAGAGAAGGAGGTTTTAAATCATCTTTTGAGGTAGTTTTAGACTTACATCTATTCAATTTTCACAACTATTGAGTGGTTGTTTCCTTTTTTTTTCCCGAGTCATATTTTCCTTTTTATTTCCTGAGAATGACTAATGCTGTTACTGGTTTCACAAGAGCAATGCTAGATGGTAGCACGGAGCCAGTACACATCTTTTCAAGGGGAGTTACCTGATAACATTGCTTGATTCTTTATTACACTACTGTGAATTGAACACTGGAAAATGCAAATGGATTTGCAGTACAATTCGTTCTGTGAATTGTAATAGGAGCTGTGAAAAGTGCTGGCAGAAGTGGCTCAGAAATACAACCCTAAACTTGAAAGTGCTGTAGGCTGTCATCATTCAAATGCAGAACAGGGGCTCTTAAAGAGACAGAGAATGAACAGAGCAGCTCAAGTAATTTGTTGGTTAGAAAGCAAGTATTTGAAGGGGATCTGGCATACAGGAGAGGTGGCAGGCTGTGCAGATCCTCTGCTGCTTGAGCAGAGGCAGTAAGAAATGTGAACACCAATGCAGCTAAAATATTACACCTCCTCTCTCACTTTTTCCTTTAAACTGTTGTAAATCTTTTTAAACTTCACCTCTAACTTAAATTGTTGAGTACAAAACCAGTAGAATCCTGGTATTTAATTTTTCTTATTTCCTAAGGTACATGTGGCCAGATGCTGAAGGAAGGATCGGAGCTTGCTGCTCTTGTTCTTAGTCGTTTCCTGCAGGCTCAGTGCTTAAGTACCACAGTGGACAGGGTGGTGGATTAGATGGACTCTTGGGCTAATCAGTATGGCAGCTTCTGCGTTGGCCAGACCAGCAATGCTTGGCCCTAGCAGAGGTTTCAATGATTTGCTTCTCTGAATGATATTTTCTCCTGAGAGATGTTTTAATGCTAACTGCAGTGACTTGCCAGAACTCCTTTTGCAGAACTGCATGCCCACTCAACTATTGTTTCAAAAATGCTTTGTGGATTGTCATAAATATTGCCATTTCCATAGCTACAAATGGTTTGTCAAAGCAGATCCTGCATTTTTTGAATTGTCATGGTACTGTTAAATCACATTGTGATCATGAGTGAGAACAGGAGTACAGCACCAAGCCTGTGCAAACGTCTTAGCCCAGACCCATGGAACAAAGCGTGGAGCTGGAATAGCTGCATCTGCACGGAGCTGCCTTTGGTCTGTTTTGCTGCGTCGTGCAGGGCTTTTTCTCAGTCCCACACTAGAGTGGCTGGCTTGCAAGTCCATACTGGCTTCCTTAGAGACTGATTTGGCTTGTCAGATGACCTTTATGGCACGACAGTGTACACAGCTGATTCTAGGGTTTACCTTGGCCAGATGAAATTCTTAAATGCTTACTTCATCTCAGGAGTAAGTGTGTTAAATCAATGCCTTCCTTTTCCCATGCTCATATCCCCACCTCCCAGCTCCTGGGGCACACTGCCCTGGCATAACTGCTGCAGTGATAAAAAGCACAGTGGTCAGTACTGCTAGCGGACCAGGTAAATGTGCTGCATCACATGAACAGGTAGCTGCAGATGACTCTCTGGCACTTAGTACTAACAGAGTGTTTGACATGCTTCTTTTTTCAAGCACTTCTGAAAACTTACCCTAAGCACAGGTGACCAGAGAGCAACCAGGGGCAAGTAACCTGACTGGCTTAAAAAGAAAAGCCACCATTAGAGAAGTAGACTTGAGGCACAATGTTGCCTGTGAAGATGGTGTGGACAGCACAGACCTGAGAGAGATAGATAAAACAGAAACAGAAGCAGAGTGAGGAGGGAAAAATAAGTTGACGGACAGCCTGAAGAATTTTGGAACATAAAGCCCAGCATACCTGAATTTCAAAATATTTGCACTGGCCAAGAAATAACAGTGGATCACACAGGCAAAAGGAAGCATAAAAAATTGGTCACATACTTTCTTGCAAGCCTCAGATTGAGTGTCTTGTAAAGACTTATTATAAACTAATGCTGCAGCCTTTCTGAAGTCCAGAACTGTCATCATGGCTTTACTCAGTAATGCTTGACAACTAGCGGGACAAAAAAGGCATGAAGTTGAAAGGTGTTACTTAAAGGTCTTCAGATACCAACTTTCTTGGAGCATGAGAGGAAGATGCATGCACTGTTTATCGTTTGTTCTGCTTCAGTCATTTTTCTCATGACTTGATAACTACAAACCAGAAACATCAGGAACCACTACAGAGCAGAACACGAAAGAGAAAACCTAGGACAGATTATGTCTTTTTTACCTTATTCTGAAAGTGATGCCTTTGTTCCATAAGATAAGGAAATGAGACTATGTCTAACTGGTCAATGGCAATGCACACTATATTTAGAATGCATTATTGATTTTTTACATCTATTATACAGTATTATTCTGTATTAACATCTTTTGGACCAATTATAGCTGTAACTCTGGATTTAGAAAATCAAGAAAAAATCCTGTGTATAACAGGAAAAGACTTGGTTTCCCAAGTAGATCAAACAAACATTATAGAATATATTTTACTTTTCTAAAACACTGTTTAGCAAGACAATATGCAAGGCAATTTAGTTGAAATTGCTAGTGGTCAGAATTTTAAAATACACACCTTAAAGGAAATAAATTGCATGATGCAGTTTTGTTTGTTTGTGTCCTTTGTTTTTTTTAATGACTAGAAGTTGGCTGAGTTCAGCTGAAATGGTTCCAGAGCTATTTGTTCAAAATTTATTGAATTACTTCCTCCTACAAACCAAAATTCACCACATATGGA